AACATTTCCATGCACGTGTTTGTGGGTTCTTTGAGGGCTTGTTGGTTAAATGTCAATGTTTTCATGATTTATTCAGGGAGATTGCACTGCTCCAAAAATCCCACTATGCCTTTGAAAGCTGTTTATAGGTTGCTCAGTGGAAAATGTGCCTGTCTTGACTGCTCGGAGATGCAGAGCAAAGCTGGCTGCTGAGCTGCTGGCTGGGGGCTTGTGGCAGAGCTTTAACATGGGCTGAGAGCTGGGACTGTGCCCTGCCCAGGTGGGTGCATGTTGCTGCAGACTGAGCATGCTGAAGAGATAGAAAGCTGCCAGCACCCTGTGCTGCAGCACCAGCATCTGCTGCTGCCCCATGGGGTGATGCCCTCAGCACCACTTCACTTGTGGTCTGAGCTTGCCCCAGGTCTCAGCTGTCCCTGGAAGGAGCAGCCACAGGCAAAGTTCCCATTACTGTGCTCCTAACATGGACATTTTGGGCTGAATTCAAAATAAGCATGGACCAATCTGGCTGTTCTAGGACAGACCTCTTGTCTTTTGTTCCCAGACTGGCATGAAGCTCTGATGTGTTCCCATTCAGCTTTTCACGTGTGTCCACACTGGGTGCTGGGCTCAGTGAACCCCCCACCACAGCCCACACCTTGAAATGTCCCTTTGTGCCATCCCCCCTGTGCTGAAGGGTGCTGAGCACTCCTGAAGCACAGCTGCACATCCCTGCATGGACAGCTGGAGCTGCAGCTGCTCCAGTCCTGAGCATCTCATGCTAGAACTGGCACCAGGCTGGGAGCTGCTGGATCCCAGCAGCTCTGCAGGGTTTCTGTGAAATAATAGTGCTCTTTTCTAAAAAATAATGTACCTATGTGGAAGAATTAAATCCAGATTTTCTCTCTCTGGGATATCATGGATTACAGGGATATAATCCACTAAGGGCTACAGGGAAGCATTTCAGCCCTCAGGGCAGACACACTGTTGTTTGTTTTAGATGGTTGTAGAAGCGAAGGCACAGAAAGTGATTTCAGAAATGCTTTAATGCACCTAAATCCATGGCTTGCAGCTCCTCTGGCCATGGGAGAGCTCAGGAAGCATGAGGGGATGAGCTCCCTTCACCTGGGGGCTGGGGCAGGTGGGTGCCAGCATCAATTCCCCAGCCCTGTGGGCTCATCAGGTATAAGATCATCCTGCAGCTCCACCAGGGCTGCTGCAGGGGCTTGATTTAATTCATCGAATCCCAGACTGGTTTGGGTGGGAAGGGACCTTAAAGATCTTCTAGTTCCAACCCCTGCATGGGCAGGGACACCTCCCATCAGCCCAGGTTGCTCCAAGCCCCATCCAACCTGCCCTTCAACACTGCCAGGGATGGGGCAGCCACAGCTTCCCTGGGCAACCTGGGCCAGGCTCTCACCACCCTCACAGGAGAGAATTTCTTTCTCATGTCCAACCTCGATCTCCCTCTTCCAGTTTGAATCCATTTCCCCTGCTCCCATCCCTCCCTGCCCTTGTCCCAAGTCCCTCCCCAGCTTTCCTGGAGCCCCTTCAGGCACTGGAAGCTGCTCTAAGGTCTCCCTGGAGCCTTCTCTTCTCCAGGCTGAACAGCCCAACTCTCCCAGCCTGTCCCAGAGCTGCTCCAGCCCTGGGATCATCTTCATGGATCTTCTGGACTTGCTCCAACAGTCCTTCTTGTTTTGGGGATTCCAGAACTGGACTCAGCTCTTCAGAGGCATCTCAGCTGAGCAGAGGGGGAGAATTCTCTTTAATTTGGCAAGGTTTTGACAATCAGCGTCATTGCTTGCACATTTGGCATGTGATTATCACAGGAAAACATGGAATGATTGCTACCTGAACACTCTGTGGTGGGATGGGAGGCTCACGAAGATGTTTCAAAGGGCTGGAAGTGTCTCTCTAGCCTTGCATGTTGGGACTGAGAGCAGTTCCAGGACTGGTAACAACTGCATGTCTCCCTGTGGGCAGGTAGAATTCCCATCTTAGTGCAGAGCAACATGTCAGGATGAGCAATAGATCCGAGTGAAAGGCATTAATTGGCAAGTGCTGGAAAATTACAGATACGCTTAATGAAAAAGAAAACCTTGTTTACTGTTTCTAATGTGCTGCTGAAGGAACTGGCTCCCAAATAAAAATACTTAAAATTACGATTAGGATTTATTTGCATAATTGCTGCAAGAGAGATTCCAGGCACGTGCTGAGCAGTGCCCCTTGTCCCAAGTCCCTCCCCAGCTTTCCTGGAGCCCCTTCAGGCACTGGAAGCTGCTCTAAGGTCTCCCTGGAGCCTTCTCTTCTCCAGGCTGAACAGCCCAACTCTCCCAGCCTGTCCCAGAGCTGCTCCAGCCCTGGGATCATCTTCATGGATCTTCTGGACTTGCTCCAACAGTCCTTCTTGTTTTGGGGATTCCAGAACTGGACTCAGCTCTTCAGAGGCATCTCAGCTGAGCAGAGGGGGAGAATTCTCTTTAATTTGGCAAGGTTTTGACAATCAGCGTCATTGCTTGCACATTTGGCATGTGATTATCACAGGAAAACATGGAATGATTGCTACCTGAACACTCTGTGGTGGGATGGGAGGCTCATGAAGATGTTTCAAAGGGCTGGAAGTGTCTCTCTAGCCTTGCATGTTGGGACTGAGAGCAGTTCCAGGACTGGTAACAACTGCATGTCTCCCTGTGGGCAGGTAGAATTCCCATCTTAGTGCAGAGCAACATGTCAGGATGAGCAATAGATCCGAGTGAAAGGCATTAATTGGCAAGTGCTGGAAAATTACAGATACGCTTAATGAAAAAGAAAACCTTGTTTACTGTTTCTAATGTGCTGCTGAAGGAACTGGCTCCCAAATAAAAATACTTAAAATTACGATTAGGATTTATTTGCATAATTGCTGCAAGAGAGATTCCAGGCACGTGCTGAGCAGTGCAAGAGAAACCTCATGGCTTTTCTTCTTCACTCTCCTGTGTCTCGAGGTTGGTTTGTTCTTGGCGGGTCTATTAAAGCTTTTAGTAACTCAATGAGGCAAGAAGGCATTTGTTACAAAATTAATGCATATATATGTATATGAATATTTGTTCCATTGACTGCAGTAAGAACATATGGCTGAGTAAGAGCCAGATCATCCTTGTAATTGTAGTGTTGGCTGGAGAACGATTCAGTAGGTGGCACTTACCTCTTTATTGCAAATGAGCTGATGTCCCAGCCTGGCTGAAGGGAGAGTGCCCTTGGGATTTGTTTCCAAGGGGCTGTTTCCCTCTGGGGAGTGTGTGAGATCTGCCAAGTTGCCATATACATTTCTGTTAATGGTCTGTTCCAAACTGTGCTGTCCAGCTCATCCTGGCCACCTCCCAGCCCCTGTGGAGACCCGAGGGCCAGGTCCTCTGCCCATGTCTGGGTTCCTCTGTTGACTTTGCTGATTTATACCTGCTGGAAGTAAAACACACCGTGGTGGGGCTGTGCTGATTGAAACCAGCTAAGGGGATGACAAACCTACCTCTTAATATTTCAATTGACTTTGGCAAACCTGCCTCTTTCTTGTGTATCCTAAATCAACGTGGAAGTGCTGCTGGCAGTAATACCCACTCTTGTCTGTGCAGGTGGCTGCCCCTTCATCAGACCTCAGTGTTTACACCTGCTAAGTTTGCAAACATTCCCCTTGAGCAGTAGTTTTCCTTAACTGTCATGGTTGGGAGATGAAAACATTCTTCGTTGGGCCCTGCTCAAATGGGAATTTCCTTCTTCCAGGGAGGGCCATCAAGGTCTGGGGCAGGGGCCCTGGTGCCACATCTTGCTCAGCATGGACACTGTGGGTGGTGCTACCACGTGCTGAAAGGTCTGGAGAACAAGTCCTGTGAGAAGAGGCTGAGGGAACTGGGACTGTTTAGTCTGAAGAAGAAGCTGAGGGGAGACCACATTGCTCTCTGAAAGGAGGTTGTGGGGGGGTGGGAGTTGGGCTCTTCTCCCAAGTGAGTAATGACAGGACCAGAGGAAATGGCCTGAGGTTGCTCCAAGGGAGGTTTAGGCTGGAGATTAGAAAGAATTTCTTTACCCAAAGAGTGGTTGGACAGTGGAACAGGCTGCCCAGGGAGGTGGTGGAGTCACCAGCCCTGGAAGTGTTTCAAAGAAATGTAGATATAGTTCTGGGGGACATGATTTAAGCACTGAATGGGTAGATTAGGTTATGGTTGGTGGATTTAGGTGATGGTTGGACTTGATGATCTTCAAGGTCTCTTCCAACCAGGATGATTCTGTGATTCTGTGATCTCTGGATTCTCTGGAGCAGGGTCTTAGGGCTGATGTCCAGACCCTCATGTGGCTTTGGAATTCTTGCTTCTGGATCCTATGACTTTTTAATTGCATGTTGAAGAAAACCCCTATGCACTATGTAATTTGTGCCCTGTGATAGATCAAGGGGCAATGGATTCAAACTGGAGCCCAGGAAGTTCCACCTCAACATGAGGAAGAAATTCTTTGGTGTGAGGGTGACAGAGCCCTGGGACAGGCTGCCCAGAGAGGCTGTGGAGTCTCCTTCTCTGGAGACTTTCCAGCCCTGTCTGGATGCCTTTCTGAGTGACCTGCCCTGGTTTTGGTCCTGCTGGGCCAGGGGGGTTGGACTCAATGATCTTTGGAGGTCCCTTCCAACCCCTGACATTCTGTGATTCTGTGATAATTAATTGTTATCAAATAGCAAATCTCTAGGCTGAAAGCTGCAGTAGGAGTGATGGAGCCTCCTGTTGTCCTGCAGCACTGCTGTTCTGGCTCTCCAACCCTAGTTTGGCATAAAGCAGAAGCTGCTGCTTTTTGGCTTGTTTGTTCAGCTCCTGTCTTACACACTCAGTAAGATCTGTAACCCACCAGTCGAGCCCCCAACCTCCGAGCACCTCCCCTGGGATGGGATGCTTTGGTCCAGCTACTCTTCCAAAGCAGCCTAATGCACTGTTCCAATAAACCAAAGAGGAACCATTCAGATAAGCCTTTCTCTCCCCTTTTCTCTCGTGCCCAGGGAGAAGATGCCATTCCACCATGTGACAGCTGGCTTGTTGTACAAGGGCAACTACCTGACCCGCTCCCTCTCCGCCGGCAGCGACAGCGAGCAGCTCGCCAACATCTCCGTGGAGGAGCTGGATGGTGAGCAACGTCCTTCTGCTTCTCCACAGGGGGCTGGGGATGGGAAAGACTCATTCTCACCTCCTCTGCAGTGCTGTCCTGCAAGAACCAGGGGTGTTCTCCCCTCGGAGCAAGGAGCAAAAGGCAGGGCAGAAGTGAGAAGGCTCAGCAGTGGGGCCGAGGGAAGGGCTCTGACCGCAGCGGGGGCCGGAGCTGGAGGATGATGTTAGGCTGAGAGTTTGTCCTCCTGCCTAGAGATGTGGCAGCTTTTTGAAAGAGCAAGGCTGCTTTTTACAGGTAAAACTTTGCAAGAAAGAATGTTAGGCTTGTATTTTCATAGAGATGTCTTTAGCCTTTCCATGGAACCTGCAGAGCTGAATTTGTCTTCCTAGCAAGTCCTCTGGTTTGCTCTCCAGCCTTTCAAAAGTGTCTCAGTATAACAAGGTGCACAGAAGAAGGTGGCTTCAGAAGCTGGAAAGAGCTTTAAAGTTCTCTTTTCCAGGTCAATGACTGGGAGCACAGACTGGCCTCAGGCTGGCAAAGGCTACCAGGAAGTTTGTCTGCATCTGTTGCCTGTAGGAACCCATGATTTCCCCTCTAGAAGCTGGTGGCTGCCAAGCCCCTCTGCCCCATGAGGCCAGGTGGACTCCCAGTCTGCTTTCTCATGGGAAGGTCTCTTTTCTCTGCAATTTGTGGCTCACCAGGGTCAATTCTAAGCAAAAGTTAGTATCACTGACAGCTGGTCTTTGGGGGCTGTGGAACTAATTGAAGGTCTTGGTTTGCTTCCCAGTAGATATTTGGTACAAGCCATGAACATAATTGGTGGTCTTGACAGAGAACTTGGTGAGGTGATGAGCAAGGGGATGGTGCAAGGGGGAAATGATCCTTCCAGGACAGGTTGGAGGCATTTTGGCAGAACACATGGCCAGTATTTCTGCCCACTCTCCTGTTTTTCACCAGTGCTTTGGTAAATCAGACCTTAGTTTTCAAGCCTTTTCAACTCGGAGCTTTAGGATTTGGATTTGTGAGCTTTGCATTAACTTCATTCCAAACGGGTTTTACTGAGGATTTGTAGCTGCTTCTCTTCTTCTCAATGTGAACATGCTGGATATGGCTCAGGTGAGAGATGCAAGGTGAAAACCCACTTTCTATGCAGCTTACATAAGACCTCAGGAGCACAAAGACTGTCTTCTGGACTCTTCTCCAGAGTTACAGAAGCTTTGCTAGAAGATTGCAGAACTGACCTGGCTTAGCTTTTGTGCATCCTGGAGATGCCAAATTCCGTGCTGGATATGGCTCAGGTGAGAGATGCAAGATGAAAACCCACTTTCTGTGCAGCTTACATAAGACCTCAGGAGCACAAGGACTGTGTCTTCTGGACTCTTCTCCAGAGTTACAGAAGCTTTGCTAGAAGATTGCAGAACTGACCTGGCTTAGCTTTTGTGCATCCTGGAGATGCCAAATTCCATTACAGTTGTCCCTGCTCAGGATGACAACTTGGCTGAGCAGAGACGAGGATGTTGGTTGAGGTTTTGCAATTTTTCTCAAATGCAAAGAACAAGGTTTTTTTCTGCTGTGCCTACACTGGTTGGAGCTGATTCAGGTGGCATCAGGGAGGGCTGTGACCTGCTTCTCAGGGCCATCACACTGCATGAAGGAAATGTTGCCTTTGGTTTGCTCCCCTGCTGTTTGCATGGAGATGGACATGGGAAGGAATCTCATTCTCAGAATCATGGAGTCACAGCATCCCCAAGGCGGCCCTCTTGCCCTGTCACTGGTTGCCTGGAAAAAGAGCCCAACCCCACCTGAGCACAACCTCCCTTCAGGTGGTTGGAGAGAGTGAGAAGGTCCCCCCTGAGTCTCCTCTTCTCCAGGCTAAACACCCCCAGCTCCCCCAGCCCATCCCTGTCAGACTTTCCCTCCAGTCCCTTCCCCAGCCCTGTTGTCTCCCCTGGACCTGCCCCAGCACCTCCAGCTCCTTCTTGCAGTGAGGGGCCCAGAGCTGCCCCAGGACTGGAGCTGAGGCCTCCCCAGTGCTGAGCACGGGCAGAATCACATCCCTGCTCCTGCTGGCCACACCATTCCTGACACAAGCCAGGATGCCACTGGCCTTGGGGCCACCTGGGCACTGCTGGCTCCTGTCCCACCAGTTGTCACTCAGTGCTCCCAGTTCCCTCTGCTGGGCTGCTCTCCAGCCACTCTTCCCCAGCCTGAAGCTCTGCAGGGGGTGACTGTGGCCAAGGAGCAGGACCCTGCACTTGCCCTTGGTGAATTTCACCCCATGTCTCCTTCCCATCCCTCCTGTGTCTCCTTCCCTGTGAGCTTGGCCAGCCCTTTGGGCACTGCTTTCCCAGAGGATGCCCAGCTCCTCTGGGCAGGGAGGAGGGAAAACCAGCCCTGGGGAGGCTGTGGCTCATTGCTGTTCATTAAGGGCCAGTGGAGTCCAGAGGATCTGCCTGCAGAGGCAGCAGCAGCGAGGGCTGCAGCCCCATTATCACCGGGCCATTGAACTGAGTTTATTCATCTCTGCTCACAAAGAGTATCCCCCTCCTCCTTCAGGAGAGTGGTTAGAGCTCTTTAACTAATCATCCATTTATTCTCTGGCCGTTAAGCACAGGCTTCTTGTTAGAATTTAGTTCTTTTCTTTTCTTTCCTGACAGCCCCGTGCTTTAAAACACCTGTTTTCAGGGCTTTTTGGCTTTGCTGTGCCCCAGTTTTTAGCAAGCAGAGGGAAGCTGAACCCCAGGCCATTTATTTTTTTTCCACTTGTAAACAAACAAGTGGTACCACATTGATTTGTGGCCAGAGAAGCATAAGAGCCTGGAGATGCTTTTCTGTGTGCCAGGTACAAGAGCACAGCTTACCCTCTGGAAATGATACGTAATATTAGGTCAGCAGTCACTGTCTTACTGTGCTTTGTTACTAATGCTACATCAGTGCTGGTAACTGGGGAAGGTACCACTGTTCACTGCCCAAACCCAAACCAGAAATAGGCTTTCTGCCTTTAAGCATAAACTACCTCAGAGGGAGTAACAAAATGTTCTTCCTTGAGAAGTTAATGCCAGTGGATGGGAGCTTTGTGGATCCATCAAGCTGTGGTAGCTTGATGCCAATAACATATTTGCATTTCATCTTCCCAGCTGGGAAAGAGATGCCAAATTCTCCTTGGTTTATTTTTCAATGAGATTTTGGTCCTGAGGGAGTTCCAGCCTATTGAGAAATTCCACTCACACATATTGAATTATTAAAGGTTTGAAACTGGGGAAGTCGGTGGGAATTTTCAATAATGCTGCTTTGCACTCAAGGCTCCAACAAGTGCCTGATCTGTTGGGGTTTTTTCCAGCAGATTCATCCCCCCCCTTTCTTTTTTCACATCTAGCATTGCACGTCTCAGTGCCATTCCCTTTGGGAAGGATTTCTGCAAGTGTGGGCTCTGGGATGCTGCAGGAACGTTGCACATCCCCCTCGTGTCCCTGCAGGCAACACAGACAAATGCTCCTTGTCTGCAGGTGGTGGTTGAAGGATAATATGGAGAGCAGGAAATGACAAATATTTCTGACTTCATGCAAACCTAAGGAGGAAGGAGTTGGGTTTTTCATTGTATCTTGGGTGCTGCTCTGCCTCTTCTCCCAGTGGTTATTTTTCTTTTATGAAAACTTTCCTGACTTGCATCAACCATCTGTTGTCTTTAACTCTGCTCTGGATTTTTCCATCCTGCTTTCAATATGATGCTGGCAGGAAGGAAAGAGGCTGGAGAGATAGCAGGTCACTCTGCTGATGCCTCCTCTGCTCCAAGCAGCCGTGTTTGCAGTTTGTGGTTCTACAGTGTGAGGGTTTTTAGAGGCTGTCACCACCACCAAGGGAATTCACTTGTATTAGGTGATGCTTAACTTTGTAACGTCAAGGAAACTCCGAAGCTGGAAGTGACAGGCCATCCATAGCCTGGCTCATAGGGACCATGAAGTGCAGTGGGATCTGGGATGGATGTTGTTGCCATATGCTCAGTGGTTTCTGTGCATGAGGTTATAAATTAAGGCTGGGAGGGACTGTTTCACATACAGATTTTCTGGCTGTTGGTGGTTGACATAAAATTGCGGTGCAGTTTGTTCGTACCCTGTGGTTTCCACATCCCTTTAAAAACCAGCTTCTGTCTTCAGATGAGGAACAGTAAGGGGTATTTTTAATCAAAAATGGTGGATGGAAATCATCGTGTCAAGCTTGAGTCATCCACCTCCATAGGCACTATCTAAAGGGTATTGTCAGGAGGTAAAAACATTGCCATGGTAGGAATCTAACAAACAGCACCTGAAGAAAGGCACACACGTGTTAAGCAGGCTTGGCAGAAAGTGCCTGTGAAATCTGTGCCAGTCAGTGCCTCACAGAGGAAACCCAAATGGGTGCCACCAGCAGCTCTTTGTCCAGAAAGACACAGTGAGAAATCCTCACCTGACCTGGGTGCCTTTAAATCAGCAGAGCCCTTGCAGGAAGAAGTGCTGCTTCAGCTGGCATCTGCTGCCTTAGACCACAGAGCCTGTGCCCCACGTTGGGGCTGGGATATCTACCAAGCTTCTTCTAGGCTGGGAGACTGATTTTTTTTTTGTGCTTGTAGACATCAACCTGATTGGTTTGAAATAGCCCTTAAGGCTGAGATCCAGAGTGGGAAAGCCAGTGCCTAGTTTTGCTTCCCTAAACTGGAGGTGTCAGCAGAGCAATGGGTGGGATGGGGCCAGGGTGTTGGCTACAGGAGCCTGGGATGCAGGAGGCTTGAAGGCAGGACTCTGGGTTCTTCCCTCATCAGGAGACTTTCCTGTCATTATAGATGATACATCACTTTGCAGGACGTGCTTTTCCTGGTTTATGCTTCTTCACTTTTCTGTCCCCTCCAGTAGCTCTTAACTGGGTCACTGTTTCCTGGGCTCTGTGTAAGTCAACCCTGAGCAGCTTCAGAGTGCACTGGGACACAGCTCTTGAAATAATTGAAAGGGCAGGGTTAAATGGTGCCCGTATGGATTTGAAATAAA